TTCGCCGTTTTTTCCTCTTCATAGTACTCCATATCGATGGTGGATTTTCGTCTTTTGTTGCGTGTGCCATGGCGACCACGATTGCTCTAGCACAACACATCTTGTCATCGGAAATGATTTCAATGACAGATTTGTAATTTTTCAACCTGTCTGTGATCTTCGTATCAAACTGACGCTTCCTCCCGCATGTTTTGCCGGCACCAAGGGGTATTTCAACAGATACCGTCCTGATGGTGATGTTTTCCTCAAGGGATATATATTGGTAAGATTGTAGAATCCTCTCCACATTGGACATCACCTTGTCGACATTCATGTCCTCAACCGGTATAAATGGTAGCCAAATTTCGTTGTTCAAGTTGGGTACGTTTATGGAAACGCGAATTTGGTCACGTCCGTCAAGATTAGAGGTGACCAGTTTGAGCAGTTGATGAAAGGTAGCGTGTAATACGTTATGCACTTCATCGAACATATTGGCATTTGGATGCGATGCGAAACTTTTACAACCCAATCCGTACCACTCACCTTAAACTTTTTGACAAAACGTTTTCTCTTACTGACAAGATTGAAATTAATCTTGTTGGTGATATTCTCGTCACTATCATCCGTGTCAGTATCACTGTAATAAAATTCAAAAAATAAATAAATAAGCCATCATCTGAATTGTCATATTCTACCAGTCTGAAAAATGAAAACAGTTTCAAATCAGCGCCAACTTGTGTCCATTTTAAAAAAACGCACTCACACATAGAGGGCGTGCATTTATGGTCGATTCTCTAAGAAAGACCGGAAAACAGAAATTGATACAAACCAAGGTCATGTCTAGTGAAAAGACACCCTAAGTAATTTAGAAAATGTAGCTCCGCATATAATAATTGTTTGAAGCTGAGGGGTACGCTCGGTAATTGAGTTCAAGCAATGATTCGATTCACAAATGATTTTTTTGTGAATGAGAGATATGACATCAATTGAAAACAATGTAGTATTCCTTTTCCTAAACAAATCTCCATTATTATACATTCTGACTACTTAGACTTACATATTTGATATGTGTTTTGACATTTCTCACTGTTTCTGTGCCAATTTTTCCTCAGTGATTTCAACTGATAGTTTTTCAAAACAAAAAACTCACATATCCCGAATTATTGGCTAGTGTTTGAAAACGTGAAAACAAAAATAAAAATGAATCGATTACGTTTTAACAGTGGAATCCATTTCATCCAATTCTAGAGATCGCTTAGACATCGTGCTAAAAGGTAGGTGGCGAAGAACATAAATGTCCTCGTGTTTTGTATAACACGTGAGTCACACCAACTCTGACATTCATTTTTCAACATCATAGTCAGCTGTGATATTTACCGTGTCTTTGTAGTCTGTTTTGGCTTGATACAATTGTATCAGGACACCAGTTGTACGCATTCATCGTTCAACACTGGGCAAGTGGTTCCGAGGAATGTTGTAATTTTGTGTGGGAAATAAAAATTAGGTTACCAGCCCTTACCAGTAATGGTTGTCTACCTACGTCATTACCAAGATTAATGTCTCAAGGAATGTTGTATCTGTGGGAAAATAAAAAGATGATTCATACATTCTCTTTTACATCACATCTATAAATATAATGTATCATCCAATCAGCGAGCGAGCATTAGAATTTGAAACAAGAGGAGTTAGTGGTTCTTGTCATTCCTTCAGATAGCAGCCTTGCGTCAAGATGAATCAGCTAAACACGTATTTACACGAATTCGCTGGCTCTCTAGCTCAAGACGTTGTGATCCCATATGCAACCTAAGAACAGATCATCATGACGAGTCGTCCTAAGAAATGCCGGGCCGTTAATTCGCTGGCTACAACTTCTTCTGACAGGGCAACGCGTCCAACCATTAATTCGTTGGCTACAACATCTTCTGACGGGGTAACACGTCCAACAACTGGTGAATGTTCTAAAAAGGTAGCACCTGACGTCAGTGCAATGGCTGGTAAATCCCCCACCATTGCTCCGAAAGGTGACAACATCTTTACTCACCTGTTGTGCCCATTCAAGAACCTGTACGTAACGATAAATTCATTCCGTGGGAAACGTTATGTACATATTTGTGAATATTATAAAGGGTACCCGACGAAGCGCGGGGTAGCATTAACAATGGAACAGTACAAAAATTTCAATGAAATTTTACCCCAAATCAACAGCGTTGTCAGGTGCGTTTTATTTTTACATACAAATAACACATTGATCAATGATTATTGTTATTTTATTTGTAAGCTGTCGTGAACACCTCCCACCTATTACTATTATATAGGTTCGTTCAGAATGACGCGACTATCAAAACACAAGCAGTCCGCCAATTCGTTAATAACATTGCAATCAGATTTCCCACCTATACGTTTGAGACTGTTGATAGAGATATTTGTTTGTATTTTTTTCACAGGCAACAGGAAACCATCGGATAAACTGATTATGAAACAAATTGTCGCTGAATTTATCTGTGCACAGGTGCATCGCATCATTCAATCCAATTGCCTAGCTTGTGAAATAGACTATCCTTCACAAATACGACATGCTTGTTTATCTTATGGATTCTGTGATGAAGACAGTCAGGTTAGCGATATTGGTCAATACATCGTCCAAGTTTTGGGCGAAATTGATATCCGTAAAATTGCCACTTGTTACGATGCGTTTCAACGCATTCACCCAGAACTGGTCAGAAAATATTCTAGACGGTATAATCGTGTGCTGTTCCGACTTTATAAATCGACAACTGAATTGTGTTTACTCTCCTCAACACGCGAAATGGATTTCCAACTCTTTGACATTATACAGCAGCATATATAGAATAAACATGTCATTCATACTTTAGCAGTTATTCTCTATAGCACAGTGAAATGTAGGAAACTTGG